AACAGTGCGTTCATTAACACTATAATTAATAAATGCCTGGTTAGTTTTTCGAGCTGTTTCGTCAGCGCTTTGGTTCAATTTGAATTAGTAGAAAAAATTGTCTGAAAATCGCAGTTCCATAACGCATGTTTAAAGTGCAAACTGAATAGGAAAAAGTGTTTTATGGTATAATTCTATGTTTATCTACAAGTAGTTGTTTCGAAAAGATTTTTTCCAGTTTGCATCTTAAAGTTACTTCTTTGCATACCTAACCCACACACTACTTGCTTCTTTCTTTTCTTTAGAAGACTCCCATTTTTTTGCATAAAGATGAAGAAATAGAAAGCCAAAAACTTTTCTTTATCATGATTTTCTTGTGTCCTCTATTTCCAAAATTCATTTTTCAATATGTTCACTTTAGTCCATTTCAAAAAATATGTTCAATCAAATATCATCATTTTCTAAACAAAAACTAGGAGTGTAATTTAAGAAAATTGTGTGGAAAAAGGCAAACAGAAGGACATAAATAAAAATATGAAAGTGTGAGGACTTTTCTGTATGAAAATGAAGTTGCAGTAGTCAAATTATTTCAAATTTCATTCAACATTATGATTTTTGTTAAATATATGGATATCAGGCCTGATGATTTAGGTCAAACTATATTATATACACATAACAGCTTCAACTTATGCTAGTTTCACAATGTTTTCATAGAGGTTGATTTCTTCATTCTNATGTGGATAACTCATTTTTAGACTCGATAAAAGGAACGAATTTTCGATTTCATCTGAATGTTGTGAATTAAAAAACCTTTGAACTTGTTTGTAAAAATTGGGAATCGTATGTCAAACGTCACATCATATATCATAATAAACAGATGTTTACCAGTCATCAGTGTTGTCACAATGTGATGCCTTATGTTGCCAACATAAAAGCATAAAACATACTAGCGATTATGACTTGAGAAGTAAAATGCAAATTTTGAATGTATCATTTCTCAAAATTTTTTCATACTCAGTAAAAATTAGTCTTGTTTTGTCAACCACATTAAACTTGTGTGACAAACTTTCTGTTACTATAATTGTTACAACTGTGAACGATGTCATTTGAGTCATTTGTTCAATAAGGATATGTTCCAAAAATAACTCTCCAGGTTTTCTTGGCCTTTGCTTTCGAAACAGAACAGTTGTGTCAATAATGTAATTGATAAGGCAATTGCTGAATTATTTCAGACGTCAAGTCTGAAATAGCAGCGGTGGATTTGGGTGGAAGCTGAAGTCCATGGCGGCAGATTTGAGGGCGACAAAGTTACATTTTTTTCTTTTTTTATTAACGATAAATAATAATAATGGAAATCGACTTTATTCATCACAAGAGATAGAGGATATCTTATTTATATTTACATTACACCAAATGCAGACGAATGCGCGAAGTGTCAGCTAAATCTGTTTTTCAACTCAACCCTGTTTTTTTCTATCAGTGCGTTATACTATTGCTTCCCTAAGTAAAAAATGCATCATGTTTTTATGAGAAAATTAGGAGAAAATGAAGGTCGATTCAAACACATCAGTCCCGTCACAGTTCCGGCACCGAACGGGTAAACTGTTCGGCAATAGATAAAGTGAACGCCGGTGGCATATTTCTATTAAAGAATATTTTTTATGACGGATTGTTTCGTTCGGCGTCGGAACTGTGACATGACGGGACTGATGTGTTTGAATCGACCATAATTCCCGAGTGGAAGTGTTGCAAGCGACGTACTCAATCTAGATCGTGTCGTAGGAGGGCACCACCGATTGTTGCGACGCAGCATTCATGCGAAGAAAATACTGCTCGTAGACTTAAATTTCGTCGAATTCTGAAGAAAAAGGCAGATTTTAGCCTCCAGAACATCAAGATGAGTATCTGTATGATTTCTCAGCTATTTTTTTTGGCGAAAATTATTAAATACAAGTTACTGATGAGTAGCATACACTTGTTAATTGTTTTTATTAGTTTGTTGACGTATATCACGTTCACAAATCGATGATGCGTGTGTATCCTTCCATTGTTCCAAATTACAAATTGTTCATTCAATAACTATAAGTAGAATCAATGAAATCGGATGAATCAGTATATTTTCATGTCAACCTATTAATGTATCAATAACATGGTCAATTTCATATCATATCCAGTATCTTTTGTCGTGGAAGTACCTCGTGAGTTGAGTATTAGCGAAACGCTAGTACTCGTACAGGTCTTCAAACCCGACGAAATACTAATATAATAGACTATGGTTACGAAAGCAAAACATCTTCCATAATTATATATCATTATAATTTTTCATCGACCTTTTTTGGGTATTTTTCACCTTCCAATCACGAGTATATTCCCAATTTACTTCAAGACAATTTTGGTAGAACCTGTTATAGTTTGACCTACAGTATAGTCTACCATACTTAAACTTTTTACTTTTCTTTATAAGATCAATGTTAACACTAAAATGAATAGCTTTATGATCTGAAATTCCCTGAAACACAGCTGTGCATGAGCTGAAGTTATTTTTCGAATTTCTACATACTACCTACCTACTATACTAGAGTTACTATATATGTTGTGTTATACATGTTGGAAAGTCAATATGCATTTTTAGGTCAAATGATCTTAGTAAGATTATCAGTGACTGAGTTAAATTAGAATCAGCATGAGCAAAATTAATATTGAAGTAATAATAAAAATAATAATTTATTTATTTCAAGGTTGTACAGACTATAAACAAAGTCACAATACAACCTAATTATTAATTAGAAAGGAATACACAAAAACAATGAAACAAGTTATTACAAATTTAGAGTTACCTATCAGCGTCCAAGTTCAATAGATAATTTGTTATAATTTTTCAAGCCCAAGTGGTACCAAGACTTGACACAAATGTCAAACTTGAAAAAGGAACATGAAGGTTATGACTTTGCCTTGTATCAAAACTATGTATGAATGAGTTCGAAATAAACATCGAAAATGAACAGACTAC